GTTCACACTACACAGCATCCACACGCCTCCCCATGTTTCCCTACACACACCCTCCCCATGTTTCCCAATACACGCCCTCCCCATGTTTCCCTACACACACCCTCACCGTTGTTTCCCTACACACACATTTCCTAAGTTTCCCTACACACACCCTCTCCCATGTTTTTCTATACACCCCCCCCCCATGTTTCCCTACAAACCCTCCCCATGTTTCCCAATACACACCCTCCCCATGTTCCCCTATTCCCACCCTTCCCCATGTTTCCCAATTCACACCCTCTCCCCTGTTTCCCTACACACCATCCCCCATGTTTTCCCACACACACCCTCCCCCATCTTTCCCAATGCACACTCTCCCCATGTTTCTCTATACCCACCCTCCCCCATGTTTCCTTACACACACCCTCCCCTATGTTTCCCTTTACCCACCAGCCCCGTTGTTTCCCTACACACACCCTCCTCATGTTTCCCAATACACACCCTCCCCCATGTTTCCGTATACCCACCCTCCCCCATGTTTCCCAATACCAACCCTCCCCATGTTTCCGTATACCCACCCTCCCCCAGGTTTCCCTATACACACCCTCCCCCATTTTTTCGTAGACACACCCTTCCCCATGTTTCCCTACACACACCCTCCCATATGTTTCCCTATACACACCCTCCCCATGTTTTCCTATACACACACTCCTCTATGTTTCCCTACACACACCCTCCCATATGTTTCCCTATACACACCCTCCCCATGTTTTCCTATACACACACTCCTCTATGTTTCCCTACACACACCCTCCCATATGTTTCCCTATACACACCCTCCCCATGTTTTCCTATACACACACTCCTCTATGTTTCCCTATACACACCCTCTCCCATGTTTCCCTATACCCACCCTCCCCCATGTTTCCCTACACTCCCTACCCCATGTTTCCCTACACACCCTTCCCCATGTTTCCTTACACCCTTTACCCCATGTTTCCCTACACACCCTCCCTATGTTTCCTTACACACCCTCCCCCATGTTTCCCTATGCACACCCTCCCCCATGTTTCCCTATACCCACCCTCCCCCATGTTTCCCAATACACACCCTCCCCCATGTTTCCCTATACCTACCCTCCTTCATGTTTCCCTATACACAACCTCCCCCATATTTCCCTACACACACCCTCCCGCATGTTTCCCAATACACACCCTCCCCATGTTTCCTCATACCAAAACTCCCATATGTTTCCCTATACACACCCCTCCCCCATGTTTCCCTACACACACCCCATCCCCCCATGTTTCCCATTACACACCCTCCACATGTTTCCCTATACCAACCCTCCCCCAGGTTTCCCTATACCCACCTTCCCCCATGTTTCCCTACACACACCCTCCCCCATGATTCCCAATACACACCCTCCCCACGTTTCCCTGTACCCACCATCCCCCATGTTTCCCAATACACACCGTCCCATATGTTTCCCAAAACACACCCTCCCCTATGAAGGGGGATAACCCTATGAAGTTCGCATAGCAGAGCAAGCAAAGTCAAATCTTAAAGTGTTTTTTCAGTTATATCGAACTAAGACTAGGGAAAGGATAGGTCCATTAAAATCTGAGACAGGTCAAATAACGGATATTGACAAGGAGATGAGTAGTATTTTTGACAAATATTTTATATCTGTATTTACTAAAGAAGAACTTAACAATATGCCTTCAGCCGAACAAGTCTATGTGGGTGGGGATGAGGACAGGTTGACTAGTTTAGCAGTTACCAGGGAGGATGTAATTAAACAATTAGAAAAACTAAAACCAAACAAATCCACAGGGCCGGATGAAGTGTTTGCCAGGGTGCTTAAAGAATGCAAAGAGGAGCTTTCCGAGCCACTGTCTACCATATTTAATAAATCAATAGAGTCAGGCAGAGTGTCAGAGTCATGGAAGGTAGCTAATGTGGAACCAATTTTTAAGAAAGGAGATAGATAGATAGAAATATCCGGGGGGATATTAATAGGGTATTAAAAGTATCAACACAGGACAGAACACGAAACAATGGATATAAATTGGATAAGTTTAGATTTAGGAAAGACTTGGGTAAATACTGGTTCAGTAACAGGGTTGTTGATTTGTGGAACCAATTGCCGCGTAACATTGTGGAGGTGGGGTCCCTCGATTGTTTCAAGCACGGGTTGGACAAGTATATGAGTGGGATTGGGTGGTTATAGAATAGGAGCTGCCTCGTATGGGCCAATAGGCCTTCTGCAGTTACCTTTGTTCTTATGTTCTTAGATCACTTGCGTCAAACTATCGGCCAATTAGCCAAACGTCTATTGTGGGAAAGTTACTTGAATCAATAATTGCAAATAAAATTCGTCTCCATCTTGAAAAACATAAATTAATAAATGAGTCGCAACATGGTTTTACAAATGGCCGTTCATGTTTAACAAATTTGCAAACTTTTTATTCCAGCATAGTTGAGGCAGTTGATAGAGGTAAGGATTGTGATGTTATGTACCTTGACTTTAGCAAAGCTTTTGATACAGTGCCACATGAAAGACTAATTAAAAAAATAGCTCATGGTATTGGGGGTGCTATATTAACTTGGATTAGGGCATGGCTATTCCAAAGAAAACATAAGAACATAAGAACAAGGGCAAGTGCAGAAGGCCTATTGGCCCATACGAGGCAGCTCCTATTTATAACCACCCAATCCCACTCATATACTTGTCCAACCCACGCTTGAAACAATCGAGGGGCCCCACCTCCACCACGTTACGCGGTAATTGGTTCCACAAATCAACAACCCTGTTACTGAACCAGTATTTACCCAAGTCTTTCCTAAATCTAAAC